TCTAACATTTTATGTGGAACACGGACTCATGCTGTGAAGTTTTTTAAAGATTTGCACGACGTTTGGTTCGATGATAAAGGAAAAAAAACGCAGTATTTAAGAAATCTAGAAAAAGAAGGCATGACCTTATCTACTGTGTGTAATATTTTAGAGAAATCAACAAAAGCTAACGTTCCTAAAGCTTTTGTAGATTTTTACAATCTCTTATTTGACAAAGACGGAAATAAAACGCAATATTTAAAAATGTTACAAAAAGAAGAGATAAATTTATTGCAAGTCTCTAAGCTATTAATCGGAGCGAAACCTGATGCTACAAAAGCTTTTAAAGATTTGTATGGTCTTTTCTTCGATGAAGAAGGGAATAAAACAAAACGTTTAGAGATTCTAGAGAAGGAAGGAATCAGACTGTTTACCATACTTAGTACATCGAGCAAAGCAACGACCAACGCTGTGAATATGTTCGAAACATTATACAATCTTTGGTTCGATGAAGCAGGAAATAAAACTCGATACGTAGAAACTTTAGAAAAGAACGGAGTACGTTTATTTAATATATCGAATATTTTATTCGGAACAGGAAGTATCCAGGTTGACGTAGTTTTTCTAAATTTATACAGTCTTTGGTTTGACAGTCAGGGAAATAAAACGCAGTATTTAGAAACATTCGAAAGAGAAGGGATCGCCCTATCGGATGTCTGCAACATTTTAGATGGAACAGGGTCCAGTGCTATACAAGTTTTCAGGAATTTATACGATGTTTGGTTCGACGCACAAGGAAATAGAAAGAAGCATTTAGACAATTTTATTCAGAAAGAAGATAATGAGAAAAGTTTTACAACGCTTAATTTATTGAACATTCTGATCGGAGCTAAAGTGAAAGTTAATGGAGCTTTTGAAAGTTTGCATAGTGTTTGTTTTAACGATGAAGGGCAAAAAACGGAACTCTTAGACGATCTCTGTAACGCAGGTTTTAAGACAAGTTATCTGTCCTGTTTGTTGTACAAATCAGGAATTTATGCTTCTCATTGTCTAAGAAGATTGCATATCGTTTGTTTCGATGAAAAGAGAGAAAAGACGAAACTCCTAACCGATTTTTACGAGGCAGGATTTAAACCGCGTGACTTATGCAATATATTGAGTGGAGCACCACAGAATATCGAGAAGTTTCACGATTTTTGTTTTGTAGAGAAAACAAAAATGTATTTAAAACATTTCTTAGATGATAAAGACAGTTTTACTATTCGTAACTTGTGTAACATATTCTGTGGGGCGCGATTCGATATTTGCACCGCGTTCGAAGATTTTCATGACGTCTGTTTCGATGCAACAGGAAATAAAACAGAAATTGTAAATGACTTTTATCAGACAGGTTTCACACCAAAATATTTATCTAATATATTATTTATGTCAGGTAATAATGCAGCGTCTATTCTAAAGGATTTTCATAAATTGTGTTTTGGTGAGAAGAATTATTTAAATCACTTTTTGACCGAGGTAGAATTTTTCACGCCGAAGAACGTATCGAAAATCTTTCATGGGGTACAGAGCAATATTAGTCCTGTCTTTGAAAAATTACATGACATGTGTTTCGATAAGACGGGAAGAAAGACCAAATATTTCAAGAAACTTATTAAAAGTAATCGAGACGAGGTGCTTAATATATTATATGAGGAAGTAAGGAGTACACCTATTGTTTAATTTATCGATTTAAGAAATGAAAGACTGGTCGCATTTACAATGCCTTTACTTCATTGTTTAATATCATTTATTGTCATATATGGTACATGTAATTGTTCTCGGTTATTAAAAGGTAATATCAGGAGAAATAGGTCAAATTAAGGGACATAGACATAAAAAACATGTATAAATTAGTCATTGCTTTCTAAGTAAAAAAAATAATTCTGAAACGAAATTTCTCCAGTTGATTTGGAAAAGAATATATAGACGTTTAAAGTTTTGGTTTTTCACTACATACAAGTACAATATATGGTAATTATAATGTTCATTTAATTTGTGTTTAATATTTCAGTAATAAAACTACATTATACAATTTTTACATTTCGCCGAACTTATAACTGAAACTTAGCAGATTCCTGTACTCAACTGTCTTATAACAGATTTAATCAGTACTAAGAATTTTTAACTTCTCTCAATCTGATTAAACCAGTTGGATTTTGATACATATTTTCATGGCACATGTTACATAATGAAACTATGTTGTAGTAGACTTACAATATAAAATACGGAACGAATATTAGTGAATTCTGGAAAAGAAAATTATTTAAAACAGAGTCAGAAAATAAACTTTAATATTAAAAGGAATTAGTTTTTTTCGTGTTATATTGTCTATTATAAAGATACAATTTCTACACGTTTTATTGTACAACATTATATGCTTCGATTTCTATGATCATTAGAGCCTCTTACGCACGGGGGATTTCCCGCGCCCTTTTTTGTTTCACCATCATTTTCAACATACTATATTTCTTTAAACATAAAATTTAATTTCATATGAGAAATAGTTTTTTTTCGTTTTGCACTTTGAAATACGAAGAGCAATGATTTACAGTTTGAAAATAGAGTGACTCGCTTGAAATTAAAGCATTTATCATTTTAATAAATTGATGGATTAAAAATGTTATATTCTAATAATAATATTATTTCTAAACTTCGACAATCTTTATAATATTTACACGTGTACTTTATAGGCTTTTGATACTCTCGCAGGCGGTACACTTGCAGACTTACACCCTTTTGTACTTCTACTAATTAATTGGGTCTTGCATAATCTTATTACAACAAATACAAATTTTACCAATAATTGCATACTCAGTATTGTTTACAAACATATTTAATAACTAAACTGAATAGTAAAATTATTTTCCTTAAAATACAGTGCAGTAAAATTTTTCGACGAGATACAAAGCTCTACATTAATGTATAAATTAATTTGACACTATCAGTGCGGAATGTATTAAAAATTTACCAATACTATAAAGTATGTTTTGCAAAAATCGTAAATTAGCTGTTT